CCATGTGGGTCACCCCCCTGGCCAGTGATTGAACTCATGCTGCAGTGGCTGTGGATAGCTTCATAGTGCTGCACTTTAACCTGTTTCACCATCAGGGTGGGCCCCATTGTAGGATCTTTAGCAGTGTCCTTCTTTCACCTCTACCTGCTAGATACCAGTAGTGCCTACCCCTTCATCAATACAATTGTGACTGCAAAATGTATTCAGATAGGGCCAAATGCCCCTCCAGTTGCAAATCACTCATTTAACATTTTTTCCCTTTTTTGTTCTTTGTCTTTCTTCTCCCAGTCATGTCTCACAAGAGAACGGGCAGTGCAGATCCCAAGCACCTCAACCAGATTGGTTTCACTCTCCCCAAGAAGGATGGACTCTCATTTCTTGGTGGCCTTCGGTCTAAGAGTGACCACCTTTCCCGCTCTAATGTCTGCATCAACGGGAACCATGTTTACATGGAACAGCCAGAAGCCAAGAATGACACCAAAGACAGCCCCTCCTCTGCCTCCCCATCCCCCCAGGGTTTGAGGAAGAAGCATTTGTTTGCATCTACAGAAAACCTGACTGCTCACTCATGGAAGGAACCTGAAGAAGGAGGTGCAAAGGAAGGAGCCTCTGTATCTTCCACAAAGGACTCTCTGAAATCCATGACTTTGCCATCTCACTGGTCACCGGCCAACGATGACATTGGGGAAAACTTGGAGACTGCAAAAGGAACCAAAGAGAGCAAGAAACAGGAGAACAAGAAGTCCTCCTTGCTTTCTCTGGTGACAGGAAAGAAGGATGCAGCTAAGGGCAATGAAGACGAAAACCCTCCAGCTGTCCTGAGGAAGGAGAAGGAAGCCAAACTGAAGGATGATGACTCTCTGCCTGTGGAAAACCTTGTGAAAAGATCTGAGAAAGATCCCATGACTGTTGTCACTGGACAAGGTAAATCCCCGAATCCTTTTGAAGAGGTGCAGATCACAGAGCCAGAGGCAGACTCAGAGTCGAAGCCGGAACCTTCACAGCCTATGACCTCGGCAAGGGCTCCCCAGACCAAAGCTGTCAAACCTCGGTGAGTTTGGGCCCCTCTGGTTATCAGAGCGGATTTTTGCTTGGTGATCAGTTGGTGGCATCTATATATGCCACAGATTTACCTGTCTGAGTGGTTATTGTTCTCCTCATCCCTATTGCTTGTGAGGCCCAGCCTACAGTAATGTGTTCCAGTCCAAAGCCATGGACAGCTGGCCTGCATGTCCTTCTCAACAATCAGAGCCCAGTAGAATGCCAAGGTCTGAGCACATTCAGAGTTTGACAAGTTAGGAACTCTAGATTTTGGCTGTGATCTGTGCAGAACCTGTGTTTTTTTTTTTTAAAGATTTATTTATTTATTCATATAGAACTGGGGTACAGAGAAGCGGAGGGTGAGAGGCTTCACCAGAGACAGAGTGGGGAGCAGAACAGGCAGATCGACGAAGTACACTGCTGAGGGGAGCAGCGGGCGGGTCAGGAGAGGTCTTGCCGCGCCATGTGGTCACCTCTGGGGCAGGCGGGAATCAAATTCATGTGGAAGTGGCTCAAGCTTCTCAGTGCTGTGCTTTAACCTGCTGCACCACCAGGGAGGCCCCGAGAACCAGTGTTTTTTAAGCTCAAATCACATATTTCCCTTTCAGGCAGATTTTATCTTTCTTCCTTGCACTTTGGCATTGGTTTGCTGGCATGAGAGATGTTGGTACACTTTTGAGTGTGTCTGTGTCAGTTCTCTATATATTTACTCTGCACCTGATTGCAAAAACCTGAATGAACCTTGAGGGATTTCTGCTTTTCAGCATGACTCACATTCACACTCAAGATATTTCTGTTGTTTGGGAAGGGAAAGACCTTTTTTTTGAGATTCTGCATACTTGCTTTCTCTCTCACACACACACACACACACACACATGGACCCACACGCATGCACACACCAGTTTCTCTTCAAAATCTGTGCCTGTAACCTAGTGGTGTACCTTTTACTGATCTTTTTTCTTGCTTTTTGTTTATCACCAAAAAAAAAAAATACAAACTCCCAAAAACTGCTATAGGCTGTTGGTTTATCTGGATCTTTCTCTGTCTGTTGCAACAGCCCTTTGTGTGGCAGATGTGCTTGATGATAAAAATGTCCCTTTTGTATGTTAAGAATTAGTTTTCTTTCCTTAACTTCTTAAGGTACTGCCCCAAATGTGAAAAAGTTCTTCCATTTTGAGTGACTTTATTTTTACATGTTTTTTTTTTTTAATTTTTTTTTATTTTGCCTCTCATGGTACATCTGCAACTGACATGCAGATTTTATTTTGTCCTTTTTGCAGACTGGAAGTGTCTCCAGAGGCTCAACCCACAGCCAGGCTTCTTTCTTCCCCTGATTCTTTTCCCTTGTTTCCTGTTCTCTCTTCCAATTCTGATCAGACACCTGTCTCTTCCCAGTTGGGGCATGATTCAGACACCCCGTCCTCTCTGTCCTCTGAATGTCCTTTCTTCTCCTCTTTCTCATCTCCCACAGCAGCTCCCATTTCTACATCCACTCCAATTAAAAACTGGCCTTCCACAGACAAATGCCAGTCCAAGTCCGAAGAAGCATCTTTGCTGCTTAAGGCAGAGTTACAAAAGGATAGTTTAACCCAAGTTCCAAATACTGCTTCTTGCATCTTGGGTTCACTTTCCAAAGAGCCAGCCACTCCAGTGTGTGAAGGGACAGGAGATTCTTCAATGGGGAAGACTGCTAAAGAGAATACCGGTAGTGACTTAGAAAAATCTTTTCTGAAGAGGCCTGAAGTCAGGCAACAAGAAGAACTTCTTGGGTTTTCCTCCAAAAAACAAGACTGTATCGCTTCACCTGAAGAGGCCCAAGAAGGAACTTTTGTTCTTTCACTCAGAAATGGCAGAAATGAAAACCAGGCTGGGAGGCCTCTGATGGGGGAAAACACAGACTTTGAGGGTCAACCCCAGTCTTTTGTGGGGAACACAGTTAGGGCTGGTGGGAAGACTTCTGCAATTAAAGAAACTTTACCCCCTCTTGCAATGGGAGAATCGGTCTCCCCATATGACTCCATGATTCAGAAACATAAGGAAATGGGTCTCACTGTCAGTGAGGGCCAAAAGAAAACCAAAAAACGGGTGTCATTTTCTGAGTTGCTCTTTGTGGAAATGGATGTGGAGAAATGCCCTGGGTTGGTTGAAGAGGACACAAGTAACCCCCAGGGGCTGACCAAGGAAGAGGCTGCTGGATGTGTGTCTGAGGGAGAGCCTGCTGTGTCTCCCCACACAGAAGACTCGGGAGAGGACACTGTGACTGAGCCTGGCCCTGTGGCAGGACACCTCCCTCTCTCCTCTCATGAGGAGAGTCTCTCAGAAGGCCACGTTAGTGGGGAAGCAAGCTTAGGGAAAGACATCCTACTCCTTAGGATTGAGGGGGATGACACCCTAATGGCTCAGAATCAGAGCAAAGCCAGTGATCACGAAGGCTTATTGTCTGACCCCCTGAGTGACCTTCGGTCTGCCTCTGATCTGAAGTCTCCGGTCATGGCAGATCTGGATTTAACCCTCCCTTCCATTCCTGAAGTCACATCAGATGATGAAAGATTAGATCAAGTTGAAGGTGACAGAGAGGCAGCAAAGGTGGCCACTTCAGAAGTAGAAGCTTCTTCCTCAAGCACATTACTGTTTGCCCACTCTGAGAAGGATGAGGGGCCAAATGGCGAGGCAGGTGTGCCGGCAGCCCCCCCAGAGAGCCTGCGTGACCTCAGTCCAGAAGCACCCAAAGCATCTGTTACAACTTCTCCAGAGCAGACTGCAGATCTAGGCATTCGTATACCAGACCTTGGCAAGAGCTCAAGCCTGGATAAACAGCCGCCAGGCCCTGGCGGTGGTGAGGAAGAAAAACTGTTGGGAAGTGGGAGGCCCAGTCAGCTTCCTGATGTGGCGCTCAAGTCTCCAGTATCCAGCTCCTCCTTTTCTGAAAACTTTCTTTCCAATTCTCCACATTCTGACACTTTCCCCAATTCTCCACATTCTGACACTCACCACGCCAGCACAGCAGAATCTCAAAAAAAAGCGACAGCAGAGGGCTCCGCTGGTAAAGTGGAAAATTCTGGCAAGAGGAAGCCGCTTCTTCAGGCCTGGGTCTCACCCTCAGAGTCACATCCAATCTCAGCTCAGCCGAGTGCTGGAATTGGGTCAGCCAAGCACAGGTGAGATTGTCTCTATAAATGTGAGGGGTGCCTCCTCCCCCGTATTTTTTATTACTGCAGAGGTTGTGGGTCTCTAGTAGCATAGAGGTTCTTCTGGTGTAACCCACCTGTTTTGCTATTTGCTATAAGGGTTGACCTTCCCTGCGATAGGGAAGCCTTCAGACACTTTGTAGCATGAGTGTAGCAGTCTCCAGTTTAGGAATCATCCAGGGGCTGATCTAGAGCTCTCAGACTGCAGAGATGCACAGTGACCACCGTCATAGCATCTAGCACCCACTGACATTGAGCTGCACGACCTAGTGGTGTTAAACTTTCTTCAAGCACCAGCCAAAGGGAAGCTGGTGTGTTTGTTCTGAACTCTGTACCACTGAGGAACAGAAGGTTCTGCAGGAGCTCCCACAGAGGCTGTAGATGTCTGTGCAAATAAGAGATTCTCTTCAGTGCTCTCTTGACATTTGTAAAGAACAAGGGTCTGGTAAGAAGGTGAAGACACCTGGCTGAGGATGTGCTTGTGGACATGTATGTGGCTGTCTCGTACTGGCTGCTTTCATTTCTGTAAGGACATCGGCACATTTTGGACCAAGAGGTAAACAGTGTGTGTCCACCATCCCCACTTCTCTGTCTTTCTGGCTGTCATCTTTGAAATGGGTAATTTCTTGGTTTTGTCACCTCAGAAAGGTCTAAGGATCCTACTACCTCTCTCTTTAGACTTCAGCCTGTGAAGCCAATGAATACAACAGCCACCAAGATTGCTAATTCCAGCTTGGGAACTGCTACCATCATCAGTGAGAACTTGATCAATGAAGCTATGCTGAAGGTAGGTCTTCTCCAAGAAGTAGTTATGCATCTCCACAAAACCCATTTCCAGAGCCACGAGTCACAGTTAGGTGCCTCTCCTTGCAGATCATAATCATATGTTTTTGTTGTTAGAAGCCCCTGCCCTTGTCTTGGATAACTACCTTCCCCCCTTACAGTTAGTTTTTGTTGAATTCTTTATATCTCAGTGCTCATGGTTGACATGGGCATTTGTTAATGAGAAGAAAATGTCACCTGCCAGCTGGCCCTTTCAAATCGGGTATTTTCATTCTCCCATGCTTGCTTTTTTATCTTTTGGCAAGCATGTAAAATTCCTGTAGCTGTAATCATTACATAGATGTACTTTTTTGTAACTTTATTTTGAAATAAGTTAAAACTTTAAAAAGTTGCAATAACAGGACAAAGAAATCCTGTGATAGTAGGTCTCCCCTAATCTGGTTGCACTTTCCACAGTTATCCAATTTCGACCATGGTTTGAAAATACTATGCACAATGAGGTATTTTGAAATTTCTTTATTACAATGTACTGTAATTGTCCTGTCATTAGTTATTGTTGTTAATCTCTTACTAGGTCGTATTTACAAATTTAACTTTACCACAGGTATGTGTGTGTGTATGAAAAGACATGGCTTATATAGGATTCAGCATTATCTGAGGTCTCAGGCTTCCACAGAGGTTATTGGGCTATACCCCCTCAGATAAAGGGGGACTGTTACCTTTCCTCCCACTGACTAGTTATTGACATTTTACCAGATCTGCTTTATCATTCTCACATTCTCCCTCTCTCTTCTCTCCTTGGATGTATATATAGATGCATACATAATTTTCTAAACTATTTGAAAGTAGGATACATACATAGTGCCCCTAAATATTCTAGTGTGTAATCTCTGCAAGTAAGGGCATTAATCAAATGAAGAAATTTAATATTGATATAATTACTCATCTCAAATTATATATCAGTTTCACCAGTTTTGCCAATAATGTCCATTTTAATTTTTTTCCCCATTTTGCCCAAGATCCAACCCAGGACTGGCTGTATTTAGTTGGGCTAACTTTGGAAAAAACTCTTTCCCACAAAAACAAAACTAAACTTCCAGATGATCTCTGCTTTACAGTATCTTCATCCTGCACTTTCTGCTTCTGAAGTCAAAGGGATTTAGAATATTGCATGGTTATAAGCTGGTCATTGATTATCACACGGACTAGGGGAGAATGATTTACTGAGGAACCAGTGACACTAGTGGTAAGGATGTGCTGCATTGCAGATATGTGGAGAGGAACTTCCTGACTGAATGTGGGAACTGGAGTCTGTAGAACTGAATTTATTTCTATGTTAGTTCAGGGAATCTAAAGGTTTTATTCAATCACGTATTTTACAGTCTCATGGTTTCCAGCATATCAAAGAGTTTTTGCTTTTTAAGCTTTTTGCTCACATTGCTTTTCCTCCTGCAAGCAATTTTTTTTTTTTTTTAATGATTGGGTAGTTAATGTCTCTGGCTTCACTGCACCTGTGGCATAAGGAGAGGGTATGAAAGCTGGAGAACTAAGAGCCAGGTAAAGAGGCTGAGTAGAAATGGGCTGTTGCTTAAAGCAAGTTAATGTTTTCCAGTCCTCTTGCCTTCCCTCCCGTAGTAGGTCGACAGGGTAGGTGCTAAGCCTCATTGTCAAACTAACAGCTGTGTTGTGTAGCACCTGCCATATTTTAGCCCTAAAAATACCTCATAACTTGACATCTCAGCTTGGCTGGCTTTTGTGTTTCTCCCATCAAAGAGGCAACACTTGTCTTCCTGGAGTTAATGACATTTACCAGGAAATTGGGCAAAAGAACTCTATAAAATGGTGACAATACTGAAAACTGGAGACATTTAGCAGCTCCCATCCTCCCATCCTCTCTTCCTCTTACTGTGGAATGCAGCTAGGCTCCAAAGAGAAACAAACACCTAGCTTTCAGGAAGTGAACAAGACCCTGGGCTGCTGTTCTGTTTACTCTTCAAAGCTCATTTAATCAGGAGCTTATCTCCTGGCCCTGACTGAGCATAACTTGCCCTAAAATAAAGGCAACTGCTGCCCTTCTGCTTGCCCACAACAAAGCTCTTGGTCATAGACCATACCTAATAACTATTCTGAGTAAGTATGGAAAGTTTCCTGGAGACTGCAGTTGGCTTGGCATATAATATATGCTTTGTACTTAGGCATAAACAGTATTTAAAAAAAAATACTCTTTGGAATGTTGCAAAGTAAGAGAGAGATTAGGGAAAGAAATTGCATAGCTAACATTATGAAAAACTAGCTGGATCACCACTGTGATGGATTTTTTTTGGCAATTGTTTTAGGGCCTCCATCCTTTATAGGTGATTTATAATTGGAGTATATTATTTACCCTGGCGGCTTTAACACTTCCATTTAAAAATAATATAACCAACTAGATTCAAAAATCATCTATCATATAAATGGCAAGAAGTGGACACAAATTTGAATACATATCATTATTCTGACAACTATGTAAAAAAAAGTCCAATGTAAAAATACCAGAAGGAAATATGTGATGAATGGGCACTGTTGTTTCTTGAATTTTTAAAAAAATAATATAATAGTTAATTTTTACATCATTTTGTGCATTTTTCCATCTCAGTTATAATTCCCATGGGCTTCCCATCACCAAATCACCCATGTGCCATCACCAAAGCCCAGTGCATTTCCCTCCCCCCACTGTTTTTGATCCCACTGAATGGGTATTTTTTTTTAAAGATTTATTTATTTATTTACACAGAACTGGGGTACAGGCCAGAGATGCAGAGGGTGAGAGGATTCACCAGAGACAGAGTGGGGAGCAGAACAGGCAGACCGAAGAAGCACATTGCTGAGGGGAGCAGTGGGCGGGTCAGGAGGGGTCTGCTGCACCATGTGGTCACCTCCTGGGCAGGCGAGGATCGAACTCATGCGGAAGTGGCTTAAGCCTCTCAGTGCTGTGCTTTAACCCGCTACGCCACCAGGGAGGGCCTGAATGGGGGTTTGTTTTTTTTTTTATTACAAAGTTTATTTTTACATCATTTTGCACTTTTTTTTTTTACATCTCGATTGTAATCCCCGCGGGTTTCCCATCACCAAATCACCCCTGTGCCACCACCATAGTCTCGTGCATTTCCCTCCCTTCCCCCCCCCCATTTTTGATCCCACTGAATGGGTATTTTTAATAGATATTTTCTTTGCCCTTTTCTATAACTTACTCACTTTCTGTAATGCTGGATTTTTTTTTCCTGGATTGTTTTATATAAGTTTTTAAATCATCAAATGACTGGGACCTTCAGTTATGTGATGATCTCAAGCCCTATATTCTTTCCCCTTTGGGTTTTATAACCCAAACTGAATAGCTTTCTGACAGTTTGTCTAACGTACTTTAGGTGTGACGTCCTTTTCCATTTCTACCCATTGATCTTAAGGACATGTTTAGAGATGTTGCTGCAGATTTATGTTAATGCATTTAAATAAAATTATACATATGATTTTTAATATTAAAATTAAATACCCCCACTGGAAGAGATAATTAAAATATAATGGAGTCTTAACCATCCATTAAACTAATTTGTGTTATGATGAATCTTTCCTAAGTTTTCGGGTATCAGTCGAATCAGCTGGCTTCCTGATGAGGACAAAATAAAACTTTCTTTGAGCAAATATTATGAAGTTAATCCACTTGAGCATCGAACACTAAGACAAAATTAATACAAAGTACTCAACACAGAGAAATACCATCAATACCTTAAAATAAACTTAAACAAATAAAAAAGTGTTATTTTATTAAAAGTTTATTTATCCAGTTACTTAATCATTACATTCCATTTACTTATTAATTCTACATAGAAAAACTTGTTGCATTTTTGAAACTCTAGACTTTAAATTATTGGTTCACCATACTGCATGTTCAACAATTCAAGCATCAGATTTTATTTCTGTAAAGTATATTGAGCAGACTTTTCTTCATAATGTTTAAAGAATTTCTAAATAAAGAAAAAAAATTGTGTTAAAATGATGAGAAAACACACACATACACACGAGCTATCAAACTGTATTCTGTGATGCTGAAGTTGTGAAACTTACTATAAAGAAACTCAGGAAAAATAAGAGACCCGCGTGCTATGTATTGGTGTGAAAGATAATTTTTTTCCTCTTTTGTATTTGGGCGTTTCCAGTGGTGAGCAAATACTCCTTTAATATTTAATTCACCTTCGCCGCCTAGAAGCTGGCCGGGCCTGTGCAGCATTGTCTCTTGCTAGTGCGGCTCCTAGCACCACTGGCTTCCCTGAGCCTGGGGTTAGGGTCATTGAGGCTTTCCTGCCTCGCGTTATTGTACAACCAATCTCTCCAGGTGTGCAACTTTTTGGCCGAAAATTGTCCCAAAAGTTACAAGTAGAGCAACTGCATGAGACTCTGGGGGGACCCAGCTCTCAGGAGCCCCTGCCTTCTGTGTCATCTGCCTTCTTCATCTTTTCATCCCCCAAGTCCCTTGCAGGGTACAGTATCTAATATTTCTGAATAACTAGGATTCTGCTGTGATAAAGGTATAATCTAAAAAAATCCCTGAGACCATGCTCTTGGCTATTGTTTACAGAGACATACAGCTTTAAAAAAAACACATGGTGAAATAAAATGGACCATCTTAGTCGTTTTTAAACATTCAGTTCGGTACAGTTAAGTGACCTTACAATGTTGCACAACCAACCTCTAGAACTCTTCTCCAGGTGTACAAACTTTTGGCTAAAAATTGTTTTATAAGTTATAAACACAGCTACTGCATCCGGGGAGGTGCTCTGTCAACATGTGTCTTCAATGAGTTTAAAAAAGAAAAAAATAAAAATAAAAAATAGGCTGAAGGGAGAAAGCAGGCTGTGAAAAGTGTCATCTATTTCTGTGCAGGCTAAAACCTGCTCTGTGAATGAAAATATCTGTGTGTTTCTAAGCTACAATTGCAACTGTGGTGCTTCTCTTCCTTGCCAGGAGAGGACGGGGGTTTCTTTCTGAATTCTGGGGATTGTATCCCTGGACTCAGCAGGGCCTTTGGTACTGTCACCAGAGAATGAGGAATGGTGCTGCTTCTGGTTAGAAGCCAGCTCTGCCTGTTCCTAAGTGGGACCAAGAAGCCCTGAGGCAGTGAACAGAGAGGTTGCCACAGAGTTCTGCGAGCATGTATCTCTAAATTTATAAATCTCTTGAGCCACAGATCTTAGGGAAATTTAGTTGTTTTGTTTCCCCCCTTCTTACAGGAGATTTAGAAGGTCAGGTTACTCCTTATTTTGTGTTTCCTCATGATTTTGGCCTCAGTCTGGAGTTTGCAATTGGAGTCTGGTCATCCCAGATTATTTATGCTTATGAAACACAGTAACTGCTTAAGGCTCCTGCTCTCCTGTGGAGTGGGCTACTCAGCCCTAGCACAGGCCACTGAGGACCCACGTATGCCATCGATGTTTAAGGGTGATGACTGTGGCCTGGAGTCCCTTAGCTTTTACCTGGCATATTTTTTAAAATATGAAATCGCTTAAAATGGAATCTGAGTGGCCACTCATCAGTCTAGCAACAAATCTTGAGAGTAACGAGACAGAAGGGTAAAAGGCGATCTGTTGCATGGGGAGAAGATCACTATCTCTTGCACCTCAACCATTAGAATTTCTTCACGGGCCACCTTGGCTTGGGGCTGGGCTCCCAGCCACACAGTGAAATTTGCTTGTGTCCCCCTAGCACTCAGATTCCTCCAATAATAATTGCATCCACAAAAGCATCAGATCCAGAGTTCTCATCCAGGGTCTGCAGCCCCATGAGACAAAACAACAAAGAAGGACATGGAGCAAACGCCACATATAACCTGCAGAGCCTGAAATAGTTACGCTGGTCCTTTAAGAAAACCATCAATCACTTGTTTTCCACCTAAATTGAAAACAGATTCCCAGAAAAATGGCTGACAAAGTTTCGTTTTTTGTATTTCTTGTAGATGTTTGATTCCTATGCTGACTTTATCACTTCCCTCCCCCTCTTTTCTTCCTCCCCAAAGAAATACAACCCTTCGGACCCTGCTTTTGCTTATGCACAGCTAACCCACGATGAACTGATTCAGCTGGTCCTCAAACAGAAGGAAACAATAAGTAAGAAGGAGTTTCAGGTTCGTGAGTTGGAAGACTACATTGACAATCTACTGGTCAGGGTCATGGAAGAAACCCCCAACATCCTCCGAGTTCCCGCGCAGGTGGGCAAAAAAGCTGGAAAGATGTGAATCCCCGGCATGTCACCCTGAGACTTTTTGTGCGTTTGTTTCTGTCTGCTCCTGAGGTCAAGGACTCCGTATGCCTGATAACCAACATTCGGGCTCCAAACCACCATCTCCCTGGCGTGTTATCTGCTCAAAGTCAACTCTCTCCACTGAAGCTGGGTTAATTATTACCTGATGCCTTTACTGTACATTCCCAGGGTTTTATTTGTAAACGCCTCTGTGCCTTTAACTATGTTTTAAATATTTTGTGCCCTGACTGCAGATGTGGTGATCTGATCCTGGTCCGGAGATTCAGATGGCACCTGAGGCTTTCTCTGTTTGCTATTGAGATTTTAAAATATGTATCCCCTTAGCCATTAAAGCTTGGGGTGAAATGAGAAGGACCATGCAACTGGTGCTGTGTTACTTGCTTTCCTGACTATTGAGTAGCTCAGGTGCAGCTTTAATGACTACAGATGCTAACTTTTGATATCATACACACACATACGGGGCTCCTTAGACTTGGTCTCATTACTTTGAAGCTGAGGAGTTCCGGGAGAGCCACTGAGTGTGCCTTTTAGACTCGGGAACAAACTACCTTTACTAAACATCAGCTTCCAATGCTATCCAGCATTAGAGTGTGCTCTGTATCGACCTAGAGGACCTTTGTGGAGATGAGAAAAGTAGAACAAGGGAATGAAGTCACTTTGCACTAGGGGAAGTTGGTTAGAGGTCCACTGCTAGTGGTGGCAGGCCTCCTGCTGCCTGACGGCCTGGCCAGCGCTTTGATGAAGGGCTGGGCAACCCAAGCACTTACTCATGTGCTTCTACCACGCATAGAATGACTTCAGCAGACCCATTTCTTACACCTTTTCCTCCGTGGATGGCTAGATGTTAAAAACTAGATGAATACACATCTGAACTAGAACACTTGCCTCTTTTTAATAGTGCTAGTTCAGACTGTTCATTGTTAGCAACCTAATATTGGAATTAGGATGTTCTAGATTATGCATTTTTTCTCCTGGCTGTTATAGAATCTCATCAAATGTAGACATCTCTCCTGAGGGAAAGCATATAGGTGTGTAGGAATTGAGACCACAGCAGTGATTAAGAAGAATCTCATCTCTGTTCTGTTGATGCTAAGAAGCAAGATTTTGGGTGGCAGAATCCCATTTCAGGATCATGTTTGCTGCAACGTCAGTTCTGTCGGAGCACTTTAATCTGAAGGACGATACTTAATTGATCTAATTAGCTTCCAGTGATCCATAGCTATTTTATTTAATACTCTCCTAGTGTACTGGGGACCACTGTAAACTTTTCAGACGACTTGTATTTTTATAGTGCTATGAAGTTTATTTACATACCTATAAAGAGAATTGTATATTCACTTGAACTCTGAAAATGTCCATGTATGTATTTGTTCTGCAATACTTTTTTTACTTCATATAAATGTAATTTGACTGTGATAACCCAAGTGCACTGGGGTGGGGTGGAGAGCAGTGTGCTTTGAATGGTTTCTCCTTTGTTGAGCCAGCGTGGAGACTTGTGTTATGTAAGGAGGGGTTGTTGGCTTAGAGAAAATGTGCTGCTAGGACCTCAGACATGTAACTTGTCAGTATTTGAGAGGGGCATTTGGGTAAACGAGTGAATTCCTGTGCACTGAAATGGCACTTGGTAACGCTAATGAAGGGCAATTTACTTCAAGGGTGTCTGGCTTCTACCACTGGGGAGCAAAAAGAATTTATAGCATTCCTGCAATTCACAACATAGATAACAAGGTAACTTGGAGGTCATTAGTTAATAGCCATTTTGAGGACTCTATTTTAGAAGAGAATTTAGCTAGGAAAAACTTCAGCCTGCTCTGACCAATTCGCAGAGGCTGGGGAACCAGGGCGCGAGAGCCCCATTAACAGGCCTGTTTGAGACATACACCTGTCTGCAAGAGGGAAGTGAGGACTTGCCTCCTGTTCCTATATATGCTAGCCTACCTGGGAGGAGGCTGCATCTGAGAAGCAGGAGCAGCTCTTTTCTTTGGTCTTGACCGACTGCCTCGAGAATGAACACTCATATTCAGGGAAGCATCCATGGCTTCCAAACACCTGGCAATGAACTTCAACTGCAGAACATCTCCCTGAATAAAATGACAATCCCTTGCCTGGTTGTTTCATATCATCTCCTTTCTTGGACTTTGACAGATGTCCTGTCCCCCACAGCCCCCCCCCATTTTGTTCTTATGTGTTAACGTCATCAGGGTGACAGAATGTAGGAGCAAGAAAGTCTGCCCTTTGCCAGGCTGAACAGCTGTTGACCCTGAGCCGAGGATGTGCTCACATGAATGGAATACTTGTGTGCGGTTTCAAGGTTTTTTTTACCAGAGGGAACAGAAGGTCCAGGACACTTAGTCACTTAACTATATTGAAGGCAAGAGGAAATTTAATGTTAAATTATGCAGGGTCTTCCCTCCACAGATCCTCTTCCCAATCAGCCCCCCTCTTTTGTGGAACTACTAATGAATGAAAAGTTGAAAGGTGGAGAACCTGTGCCATAGCTAGAGAACCTGGCCTAGTAACCACATCACCCTAGCCCTGTGGTTCTCAACGTTATGTGAGCTACTAACTTTACCGCTTCCTCCCTCCAACTGAAGGACTACCCAGTGTTTTTGAATTAAAGAATTATTTCCTACTTTGTTATTTGGGAATTTTTAATTTCTTTGGTTTTGTTTCTAAGAAGTAACAAAGTTTCCTATAACACTAAATAAAATGGTACTACCTTTCAAAGAGTTGTGTCTGTAGTTTCATGTGGGTATAATATAAATGGCTCTGTGTTCTAGGAACAACTCTCTTGGGAGGTAACTCTGTTCCCCACCCTCAGAGGGGTCTCATTTACATTCCTGCTGCTACCACCTTGCTGAGTGCCCAGGGTCCCAGTGCCCTTTTTCTTGGAGAGGACAGGACATGGCAAATCCCTTCCCTGTGATACACCATTCTGCCCACAGGGACCGTGGCCTTCATGAGACAGATCACATTTGAATTTTCTCCCCTCAGATCTAAAAGCTGTACATTTTTTGGGCATGGGTACCTTTGGCTGAACATATAAACAAGGCCCCTTCCTTGATTTTCTTCCCCCGCCACTCATTTCCCCAAAAGTGAAATACTCCCTGTGAGTATAACTGAATGCCCGGGAATTGAAGACCACTTAGATCTGGGAGCCATCAATATAGTTCATTTCTGAGTAGAGGGTGTACACTCCTGAGCTTACCTCTCCCAAACTCTAGGTCTTCCTGATGAGGGAAGTGATCTGAACCACAGTCCATGTCTCACAGACCTTGACCCTTGAAGAGACGGACATTCTTTTTTTTTCTTTCTTTTTTTAATAAGTCA